TGCCAACAGTGGCCAGTGCCAGGTGCCCCAGAGAGGGTGAACTGAAGACAGTGATCAAGTGATTTGTCTCGTGCCATCCATAACTAGCCTTTGACAAACAGATGCCAGGAGCATTTTTCCTTATCCTGTGGCTAATAGCCTTTTATGTACCTAACCTCCATGAACGTCCTAGCTCTTCTTTAAACTCTGTTATAGTCCTAGCCTTCACAGCCCCCACTGGCAAGGAGTTCCACAGGTTGACTATGCACTGTGTGAAGAACTTTCTTTCATTAGTTTTAAACCTGCTACCCTTTAATTTCATTTGGTGTCCTTTAATTCTTATATTATGGGAACAAATACATAACTTTTCTTTATTCATCCTCTCCACACCACTCTTGAATTTATATACCTCTATCATATCCTCCCCTCAGTCTCCTCTTTTCTATACTGAAAAGTCCCAATCTCTTTAGCCTCTCCTCATATGGGACCCATTCCAAACCCCTAGTCATTTTAGTTGCCCTTTTCTGAATCTTTTCTATTGCCAAAATACCTTTTTTGAGGTGAGGAGACCACATCTGTACGCAGTATATATAGTTTTATATAGGGGCAGTAAGATATTTGTCTTATTTTCTATCCCTTTTTTTATTAATTCCTAGCATCCTATTTGCTTTTTTGACTGCCGCTGCACACTGCATGGACGTTTTCAGAGAACTATCCATGATAACTCCAAGATCTCTTTCCTGATCAATTGTAGCTAAATTACCTCCCATCATATTGCATGTATAGTTGGGGTTATTTTTTCCAATGTGCATTACTTTACACTTAGCCACATTAAATTTCATTTGCCATTTTGTTGCCCAATCACTCAGTTTGGTGAGATCTTTTTGAGGTTCTTCACAGTCTGCTTTGGCCTTGACTATCTTGAACAGTTTAGTATTGTCCGCAAACTTTGCCACCTCACTGCTTAGCCCTTTCTCTAGGTCATTTATGAATAAGTTTAATAGGATTCGTCCTAGGACTAGCCCTTGGGGAATACCACTAGGTACACCTCTGCATTCTGAAAATTTACCAGTTATTCTTATCCTTTGTTTCCTGTCTTAACCAGTTCTCAATCCATGACAACCTTAGCTTCCTTAATATTTTTCTGTCTTGCGCAGGTCAAATGAGTTCCCAGAATTGGGGTCTACTGCTTGGTATGAAAACAAATCTTCATTTTCTTTTTCTTTTATCCATTTTTATTTAGTAGCCTTTCATCATTTCCAAAAATTCCCTGCTGTGATATCTCTTACCTCATTATACAGTTCAGCATTTGAATGCTGAATCTGTTGGATTTTCATATTTCAGAAAGTTGCTAGAAAATGAACCTAAAATCAGCTATTTTGGATTTCAAATATGCTGCTGATAATTCAAGATGTTTTTCCCCTAACTGCTCTAACTGTACCATAGCTGTGTAGGCACTGCAGTGCTGGCAGGAGTGAAAAAGCAGCAAAACAGTCAGCTGATTGGATTCTGAATACATGCAGTGAATATATTAACAGGGTGCCATTTTATTTAGTCCCTTTTCTGATCAGACCCTCTTTCTTTATAATTGGATATTTGTTTTATGGGTATGTTTTGACAAGGAAAAAAGATGAGTGAGCTCTTGAGTCCATAGAATTTAAGGCAAAAGGAACCAATATGTCATCTAATCTGGCATGCCAGTTAAAACTGCATTCATTAATCCCTATATTGAGCCCAATAATTTAAATCAGATTAAAGCCTATAGTCCAAAAAGGTGTCCAGTCCAGAACTGAAGACATCAAGAGATAGAGAATCTAATACTTCCCTTGCTAGTTTGTTCCAGTGGTTAACCGCCCATACTGTTAAAAACGTATGCCTTGTTTCTAATTGGAATCTGGCATCAGCTTCCAGCCAGTGGTTATTTTTCTGTTTTTTCTCTGCTAGATGAAAAAGCCCTTTTCTCCTCGTGAATGTACTTATAGTGTATTAACAAGTCACAGCTCACTCATTTTGACAAGCTTAACCAATTTGAGCTCTATAAATTTCTGTGTAAGGTATTTTTTCCAGCCCTCAATCTCTTTTCTCCATTCTCTCCAATTTTTCAATATCCCTTTTAAAAATTGGACATCAGAACTTTATTTTTGGCAGAGATGACTTCCAAGAGATCCAGAAGTACTGGGAAGGAATTCTGGAAGCTAATGCTGGCAGCCTGCTGGCGTGTTTTCTCATATCTGCAGTACATGCTTCACTGGCCATTGATTGCTAGTTCTGCTGATCCTTTCAGTGTCCTGTCATTTGAGGGTGGATTCATTCTTCGTAGTGCAGGAAGACGCTGGTCGACCCCACTGCACCTCAGGAATCCTGCCAGAACCAGCTCAGTGGGTCTGTTGCCTGCCTACTCTCAGGATTTCCATTGGTGGCTTCATAGATAACCCATGGGGTGCAGTGAGGATTTGCTGAATCGGTTCCTGTCCTGAGTGTTTTGGCGAGATCCACTGCTACTCACTCTTTGACCTTTGCAGTCGCCCTGATGGAGAAAAGCTGCTACTCTGTACCTTCACATCCTCCTGATACACCTTCAGCTAGTGGCCCTGCTCCAGGATCTGTAAGCCTGTGACTGATCTCTGCTTTGTGTGCTCTGCACCGATCTCCCTGTTCGACACACATTTGTGTTCTGTTGTGTGGGGTAAATCTGAGTAAGTTTGGGGCCATCTCTACCGTGTCTCAGATGCGTGCTTCCTAAAGCTATGCCTTAAAGGGAATATGTTACATTTTTACAAAGGCAGCCTATGAGCTTCATGTGAAATTGGATTACACTTCCAGGGTAGGAAATCACATTGGGACTCAAGGGTTCTGTCTCAGAGGCTGCTTGTTGGAAGCTGCAGGTTTAATTTCTTAAAGCAGAGCTGGATTCAAAAGGTAGCAATAATGAAAGTCAGTGATGCTGGAAATGAATTCAAATGCTCTGTTTGGGTTGCCTTAGAAATCCCTTGCTTGTAGAGGATTGGATGTTGTCAAAAGGCTGAGTCCAGGGTCCTTTTTAGCTTCTCCCTATCTCTGCCTTCCCCCTCCTCCCCATCATGTGCGTAGGCAGCCTAGAGGTAATGCAGCTCTCCCCTCTCTTGTGTTCTGCAACAGCCTCTGCCCCCTGGATGTCGCTCTACTGGTGCTTGTGGAAGTCAGCGTGACAGTGCAGACTCCAACGGCAAAGCAGTGGCTTAGGACTAGAAATACAGTGCAAGGATTTTAAAACACTAGATTGTGATGTGGCACAGGAAGGGAATTAGTTTCACCATCATCACGCTCCAGAGTCCAGCTCCTTTATTTTCTCACTGGCTTCTTCTAGCCTAAACTGGAACAGGAATAAGAGCAAGTGGTGGACTAGATAGGAAAGGAATTTGAGAGTCAGGAGACTTGTGTTCTCATCCCAGCTCAGCCGCTGATTAAGGATGTTAATTATTGAGTAATTTAGTACTTGAGTAGTCAGTGGAATTTCCATCGACTAGTCATTAGGCACTTCGGCATTTCTCCTTTGAAATGTACAAGAGCCCTTTCAAAGGAGGAATGCGGAACTCCACGTGCAGCCCCAGCCCGGGGCCAGCAGGAAGTCCCATTGACTCCAGTTTGTACACAGGGGCCAGCTTTGAAATGTACAAGAGTCCCCAGTGGAGGCTCTTGGGCATTTCAAAGCGGAAGCGCCCTCGTGGACCCCGTGCTCCATGCTGTGTGGCTACTTTGAAATGCCACATGGAGCCCGGGTCAGCTGGGGACTCCCCAGCTGACCCTGAGCTTTGTGCAGCATTTCCCCAGAACCTGGAATCAGCTGGGGACTTCCCAGCTGACCCTGTGCTCTGTGCAATGGGGAGTCCCCAGCTGACCCTGGGATCCATGCAAATGTCACAGTGGCATTTCAAAGGTCAGCGCTGCACAGCTGATCCCAGGTTCAGCTGTGGAGCACTGCTCCTTTGAAATGCCGCGTCAGTGTTTGAAAGCGGCAGCGCCTCACCGAGCCCAGGTACAGACTCCCCGGCTGCTTTGACGTACCCCTTCTTCCCCCCCACTTTGCTGCCTCTATCTGACACTAGCTGTCAGAGACTAGCTGCCTTATAATGATCCTGATTTACAGTGAGAGTGTTGTTAGTACTTACCTGCCTCTCAGGGAGACATGAAACTTAGAGAGAGTGCTTTGAAATCTCTGGTAAACACTATTGAAGCACCCAATACTGCTAAACGTAGTGGTAGAGAGCCATTAACAATGGCATGATACAGGATCCAAGGAATTAGGTAATCTGCCTTCCTTCATTCCTGACATGCAGCCACCACTTGGTGGAATGTGAGGAGCTGCTTCACACTGCATGTACCTGCATATGGTGCAAGGGGGAATACATGTGTTGTCTGCAAGTGTAGTTCTAAGCTTATATGATAGTAAGGAACATAAACTAGATCCTCTCCAGGTGTTTTGTGGGTGTGGGACCTGCTAACTTCACCAGTGCATTTCCATTCTGTCTTGAGGTACCAAATATACTAATAACTTTCTCCTGCACAGTGACTGCTAGTTATGCTGTGTGTGTGTATTGTGAGTTAAATGAGATCAGAGGGAAAAAATGTCTAAGGCTAGACCCAGATCCACAAAGATGTTTAGGGTCCTAACTCCCAATGAAATCTAGGTAGGAAGCTAAATACCTTACTTTTTAGAATGGTGCCCAATTGGCTAAGTTTTAAAATCAAGCACAACAATTTGAAGTTGAAGCTGTAGTTGAACCTGGTATGTTTGCTTGCATTTTTGTGCATTTAACTTAATTTCTTAATTAAGTCCACTTAATATCTAAGTGGCTTTCAGAAAATGGTAGTGACTGTTAGCAGCTATTACATCAAAACTGAGTTCTGTTTTACCCATGGCCAGTTATTGCACAGTATTGATTGTTGGAACACCAATTAAACCTGGAATGTAGTGGTTGGTCACTTGTTCTAATATCACACTAAAAGCTGTTCTTTGAACCTGTTTTTCTCTTTTCCAGTGGGGAAGACCTCCTTGATCACCAGGTTCATGTATGACAGCTTTGACAACACCTATCAGGTAATACAATCAACCGTAGCATCTTGCCAAACTGTTGTTGCTGGGCCCTCTTCCTCCCTCTGCTCTTCTCAGCTGCAGACAAGAGCTGCTCCTTGTCAAGGGAGCATGTTTGCTCTGGCAACCATAAACTATGAAACCAACTGCCACTGAGCCCCTTCTCAAAACAAATTCACTTTACATTACTTATTTATAGTCCCACCTCGCCTGTCATGTGCTAGGCACTTTCCAAACAGTCCCTGTCCTGAAAGCCATGTCATCTTTATGTATTTTTTTAAAAATACTACTGTGGTAGTCCTCCACTTAAACTTGGATGATATTATTTATACCCTTATTAATGATTTCTAGCCTGTCTCTCCAGAACTCCCATCACTGCTGGTAGGCAAATTGGACAGACCTAAATTCAAGATTACATTAGAACAACAGTGTTAGCAAAGCTTCTATGGAGTAGGACAAGTAGAGTACACATTAGTCTCTCCTGGGAGCAAACATCCGTACAGATTCTGCCCACTGTAATTACACGGATATGTTAAAGCAATTCTTTTATTTAATCATCTCTCTTTCCCACAGTACTTTTCTCTTTCAGTTCTTGTCTTTTCTCTGTGGAGTTTGTGTCCTAGTTTTAATGGGAGAGCTTTGACCCTCAGTGCTTTGTTATAATGCAGCTGTCTCCATGGCAAGATGGTCTGATGTAATAAACTGAGTGATTGGAAAATGAATGAGTGAGACTTAAAGAAGTCTTGGGGGCTTATCAAATAATTAGCTTCAATTTAGCTGTCATTGATGTGTGCCTAACTTAAATCTTAATATACTTTGTACTTGTATGGCCCCATTCACCTGGGGATCTGTAGTTTTACAAACACGACCATGACTCATAGGTAGGAAAATACAATTCCCAATTTTACATAACAGGAAGGGGGAATAAAGTTCAAAGGATTTAAGTAACTTGCTCAGGATTACACAGCTAAGCTAGTCAATGGCAGAATCCAAACACAGCTTTCCTGCAGCTGGGTACCAAGTTCTGAGGAGTGGAGCCCTGTCAAAAGTCCAGTACTGTATCTTGAACTGTTTGAGGGTAGAATTCAAGCTATAGGTGTGGTGTTAGATAATCTGGACCCTTCTGACAAATTTGAGTGCACTATTTATTTCTGAAAGTGCGTCAACCAATCACTAGAGCCATATTTGGCAGGTTCAGTTATAAATAGGAAGCTTGTATTTGATAAAGTATTCCTTGTTTTATGTGGGGGTTTTATTCCCAAATTGCAAAGCTGTTGCCTATAACTACTACCGTATTTTCCGGCATATAAGACGACTTTTTATGCTAAAAAAACATCCCCCAAAAATCGGGGGTCGTCTTATACGCCGGGGCTTTTCTCGCCCCGGAGGACACAAACTGCGGGACCTCGCGGTCCCGCCGCCCGTGTACTCCGGGGCGAGAAAAGCTGCTCCGCGTCTCCCTGGTCTGCAGACCAGGAAGACGCGGAGCAAAGCCACAGCCGTGGCGGGATCCCGCGCCTCTGAGGCTTTGCTCTGGCAAGGCCTCAGAGGCACGGGACCCTGCCGCTGCTGCTGCTTTGCTCCCGGTGCCTCTGGGCTGCTGGGGACCGTCCCCAGCAGACCAGGGACACCGGGAGCAAAGCCGGGGAGGCGGAGGGGCGCTGGGGCGCTGCCGGTTGGCCTCTTAAGGGGGGGTAGTCTTATACGGCGAGTATAAGACGAAAACCTATCTTTTAACTAGAAAATTAGGGGGTCGTCTTATACGCCGGGGCTTTTCTCGCCCCGGAGGACACAAACTGCGGGACCTCGCGGTCCCGCCGCCCGTGTACTCCGGGGCGAGAAAAGCTGCTCCGCGTCTCCCTGGTCTGCAGACCAGGAAGACGCGGAGCAAAGCCACAGCCGTGGCGGGATCCCGCGCCTCTGAGGCTTTGCTCTGGCAAGGCCTCAGAGGCACGGGACCCTGCCGCTGCTGCTGCTTTGCTCCCGGTGCCTCTGGGCTGCTGGGGACCGTCCCCAGCAGACCAGGGACACCGGGAGCAAAGCCGGGGAGGCGGAGGGGCGCTGGGGCGCTGCCGGTTGGCCTCTTAAGGGGGGGTAGTCTTATACGGCGAGTATAAGACGAAAACCTATCTTTTAACTAGAAAATTAGGGGGTCGTCTTATACGCCCAGTCGCCTTATACGCCGGAAAATACGGTACTTAATAATCTGGTTTTGGGAAAGCAGCACTTGTGCTGACTCACAAATCATCAGTGGTTTCCCTGCTGTGCTTTGGGGTATGTGTGTAACAAACAAATAAAATGGCACATTTCCCAAAGTTTCTTCATAACCAGTGTGATGGGTTCAGTCACAGAGATTGCCTTGAGACTCTCTTGCTGGGCTTATCCTACTACTGAGCTCACCCTCTGAGGCACCCCACCTCCCTGTCCTGCTGAGCCAGAACCTCTGATCACTCCCAGCAGTGGCACAGAGTCGGGGTCATAGTCCAAAGCAGAGCCACGCAGACACTGAGAGCAGCTCAACTCTGTGAAGGCTCAGTCACAGGGCCGTGACAGAGCACCCAGGTGCACAGCTCCAGTGGGGCCAGAACCCGGATAAATCCATCTTACTCTGCATAAAAGTTTTACACAGAGCAAGCTCCTAAGTTGTTCCTTTCCTTGACTTAATGAAAGAGAAGATGTACAGCTGTTGCCCTCGCCCTGTAGGTAACAATTATTTGCACTGGGTTTAATAGTAAACAGAACGATTTTATTAAATATAACTAGGGGGCAGTGCCCCCTGCTCGCTATGCTTTCCAACCCCCATCTCCAGGGATAGGCAGCCCTGGTTCTTCCCCGGCTCCCAGGGAAGGCCAGGTCGAGTCATAGCAGCCCTGGCCTGTAATGGTTCTCCCCGGAGGGAAGGGGAGTTGGGCCATATTGAGGCTGCAGCTGGCCCAGCTCTCTTCCTCTGGCCACTGGAGGTTGAAGGGGTTGGGCCAGACTGAGACTGGTCCGGCTCACTCCCCTCCAGATGCCAGTGGGTAGTGCTGTGCTGAGGCTGACCCAGCTATCTCCCTCCAGTTGGGAGGGGGTGCAGGAAAAGGCGTGGCAGCCAGCCATCTCCCTCTGGCCACTAGGGGGAGAGGCCATGTGGCTCTGGCCCTCCACCAGCGAGCGGGGAGGCCACGTGGTTCCGGTGTGCTCATGACCGTAGCAACACCTCACGTGTCCTGCGCCCCTCTTTTCCCCCGGCTCCCCCACCAAGCCCCTGTGGCTCCTAAACCTGACCTGAGCCCCCGCAAGGCTGTGGGGCTCCCTCCCCCAAACTCCTGAGAAGTGTCATCGCTCCCATGAACCTGAGCCCCCTTGAGGCTCCCACATGCCTCTGTTCCCCCACCTGAGCTCCTGCGTGCCCTCCCTCCCCCTCACCCCCCAGCTCCTGCTCACCTCTCTTCGTTTGCCCTAGACAGCAGAGGAGCCACACGTTTCGATTTGAATTCTGGTAGGTGCCTGCCCACATGGTGGATGCTTGGGCTGGTGGCATGTAGAAGAGGAATTAACCACCAGCCCTGACACCCCCAAAACTAGAGCCCCCTCTTAGAATCCAAACCTCTCATCCTCAGCCACACTGAGCACCCACGCTTTAGTCAAATTATGTTGGGTCCTGAGGAAAAAAGTTTGAAAACCAGTACTTGACTGCGTGGAAGCTCTGGGGCTGAACTCAGCTGAGCTCTCCTGCTAAGACCAAGTCAGGGAGGTCCTTCTTGGCAACAGGAAGCCCTCAGTGAAAGCCACATAACTTGCCAAGTGGAAGAAGTTTACCATCTGGTCAGTTGTTCAGTATGTTTCACCAACTCTGGTGCCCATATCATTCATATTGGACTATCTGTTCAGTCTTAAGCAGAAAGGTCTATCAGTGTCCTCTGTTAAGGTGCATTTAGGGGTGATATTGGCGTTTCATCTGGGGGCACACAGCTGTTCAATATTCACCAACCTACTAGTTAGCCACTTTCTCAATGGCCTGAACTAACTCTACACCCTGTACAATCACGCAGCAGTCTAGAGATGACGCAGCCTTTGGGCAGACAGTGCTCCAGTCAGTGAAGAACTCCAGCCACACCTCCTAGATGGGCTTGTGAGTCACCTGATTGGAATACACGTGATACCCACCCCCCTCCTCCATCAGAGTAGCTGGCAAGAAGAAACTGAAGGGATGGGTTGGCAGGGCTCTCTATTGGGTGCTATTTTGGCACCATTCCATGGATTGCCTGGGCCAACCCTACAGTTAGCTGCTAGTGAAAGAATCTTTCAGTTACTGTATGTGCGCACACGCCTTACTGGAATGGACATGAGACAGGACTATGCAGCCTTTTAAAGACTAACAAGATGGTTTATTAGGTGATGAGCTTTCGTGGGCCAGACCCACTTCCTCAGATCAGTCTTTAAAGTGCTGCATAGTCCTGTCTTTTTTTGTTTCGGCTAGACCAGACTAACACAGCTACATCTGTATTACTATTGGAATGGACATGAACAACACATCTCAAAGAACAATAGTTATGAGATGGTACTTAACTGTTTTCTTCTGTTGGTTTCACACATTAACATCTCTCTGTGTAAAGAAATGGTATCCAAACATCCCTAATTCGTACTCTACTTTAGCATAATTTCATGTCCACTTATTCTTGTCAAGCAATAAACTCTTGTAGTCTTAAACCTCCTTCAAGTCTGCTAATCCACTGCTGGTTTTCCCCTCCCTGTGCAGATGAGGACAGAACCAGAGTTGGTTTGCAGTTCCTGTCTTCCTTTTGTTAGGAGCTTGAACAGAGGCCTAGCTTCTGTGTCCTTTCTTTGATATGTTTTATTGTGTTTAAAAGTTTAGACTCTTGGACCTTGTCTGTGCTTGCAGCAGGGTGTAGCAGATACATAACTATATGCCACAAGGAAAGGCAGACTGCATCCAGACTCTGAGGGGTATAGCTACGTGTGCCAGAGAAAAGCTCCCTCAAGGGGAGGCACTAGGGAAAGGCTGACAACTCTCCCTGCCAGAGCCTTTCCCTTATGCCAGAATCTTTCACTGAGATGGGGACACTCTCGCAGAGGGGAGACAGCAAGATACTGCACTGCTAAAAATAGGCGCTGTTTTGGCATATAGAATATATACCCACAAGGTTCAGATGTGTCTTTAGCTGTCTAAGCAACGCCTCACTATCTACCCTGCAGTTGAGACTCATGATAGCTGAGTTTTGCTACTCTACGTGCCACTGCAAGTTTAGACCTAACCCTAGACTGCCTGTATTTTTGCTTGTCCTCAACAGTCACTTCACTTATTATAATATGGCTAGAACTGTGAAGCTGGCCAAATTTCGCTCATCGCACTCTACTCAGTGTCAATATCAGATTTTACACATGTATTATGAATAGATATTTGTATTGGTAGGTTAACTCTTGGCAGGTGATGCTTACCGGTTATGGTTAACCAGCAGTTCGGCCGTGCTAGAGCAGCCCCTGCCTGCAGCAAGCCTGGTCCAGCCAGAGCAACCGGCTGCGCTGTGGGTGGTGGGCACTCTAGCCTGGTTAGAGCAGCCCCCACTCACGGCAGGCTTGGACTGGTCGGGGCATCTCCCACCCTGCTTCTGTTTAAGCAGGTAACTGGTTAAATATAACATTGAATAGATTAATTGATTAAACAGGATTTTACATCCCTAGCTCTGACATGTTGTAATGAAGATGGAAACTTTCATGCATAAAGGACATTTTGCTTAAAAATCTTACAAGCTGTATACCCAACCTTCAACCTGATATTACTTGCTTCGAGGAGGAATTTGGACACAAAGGAATCTCCATACTTGATGGGGAGATACGTTGGTTTACGCAGCACTGGATTTCTTACCACGGTTACAACTGAAGGCCTTCCCCATACTTCTTTTATGGGGCAAGTAAAGACTTCATTCCACACAACCATTGTTCCACCCTCTTCCCTAGAAGAATTGAAGTGAAAAAATAAGTAGAGAACCCTTTGGGACGTCGAGTCCATCCGTCAGCCAGGACCGCTGGTCCTCTCTTTGTTCAGTGTTTGGACTGGGGAAATTTCCCAGAAATTTGCAAGTCAGACTCTCTTGAGCTGTTGTTGTATGTGACTGGTGTTCTGTTTGAACTCAACCTCTTTTTTTTTAACAAAATCAGTTGTAAAAACTATGCTGGTCACCAGGATTTTGTCTTTACTGTGGCTCCAGCTGGATCAATTTGTGCACCAAACAGTCTGCAGAGGGAAACTGAGTTGGATCATGGAGTGCTAGTCAGTTTCTTTATGCAGCTGGTTTTGTATACTGTAGAACTGTACTGTGGTACAGGAGCATTTTGGGGATTGTGGGTTCCTGTGATTTTTAGGATCAAGCCTTCTTACACCAATTTGGGGAAGATTAGACCCTTCATGATTTTGTTTAATCTAATACCAGGTTGCTGGGACATTGCTCATCTTCTAGGCTTCACTGATATTGTTTAATGGCACTGCCACATCAAGGATCATTCTGTTAAAGCCATATCCAGTGTTAGTAGCCTGGGTCGCAGGTCAGTCAGACACCTGCAACACTGAGTTCCCCATCCTGCACAGAATATTCAACACAGCATCATCAAGAGAGTCAGGACTTGAAATCAGTGTTACAAGGGCTATTTTTAACACTGTTCTCTCTTCCCCCATTTTGGTTAAGCTTCTGTCAATTTCTATTGCTAAGCTCCACTAATGTCTAAAACAGTGTTTCTTAAACTTTTTAAGATGGAGGAACATCAAACAATTTTTTTATGAAGAACACCAAGGATTTTTTGTAGAGCAAAAAAAAAAAAAAGGGGGGGGAAAAGTTATTGAGCAAAAAAGAAAAATAGGCGTGGGGGGGGAAGGTTGCCTGGCCCCTTAAGGGTGGCCATTTTGAACTCTGTTCTCCACGGCACACCTCACTACAGAACACAGTTTAAGAAACACTGGTCTAAAGGCATAAAAAAAAAACACCTACTGCAGTATTTGTGTCTATGGCGTAAATTACCAAAGTTGTGCACAAACTGTGGTTTACTTAATTAAAATTGTGCCCTTTTTTATGCTGAAATCTTGCGCTACTAATGGTCATAATTTTGCCAATATTTCTTTCTCCTTATTTAGGTATCTACTTAAGAAGCTTGAGTCTTAAAGTGGAAAAAGCCTAATCTGTACCTTGTTTACAAATTCCTTCCATGACCATGGCCCTCAGTTCAGTTTGTGTTAGAGCTAGTCTGCCATGACTAATATTTACAATTGAGAGAAACAGATTACACCTGTTTGTTTATACTGAAATGTGATTTAAAATTTTTTTTACAGGCAACAATTGGCATTGACTTTTTATCAAAAACCATGTACCTGGAGGATCGAACAGTGAGTAAGATTTCACATGGTTTTCTGTAGTCACTTGGAAAGAATCTGCTATTCTTGGTATACGTCATAATGTGAGCATGCTACAGAGTTTGAAGTGCCGTAGAGGTTTAGGAATAACCCATCCTGGTACAGTATAGAAGATCCATGTCTGATTCAGGCTTGGTCCCTTGCTTGATTGTCCAGGCAACCAGGGATGATGTTTTTCACAAGTTTTGAAACAGGCCATATTCATTCATTCCTGATTTGAATGGTCAGTGTGATGCAGAATTTGGGGAGTAAAGGAGGAAAAATGTGCATGGCTGGGTGTAGGTTTTAAAGAGTCTATCAGGTGTGGGGTTAGAGAAGGGGCACCCCCAAAAATTCCTAATGTGTGGCTGGGGACTGCATATAAATTGGATTATGACTAAAGATGCCAGTTTGTACCCCAACTCATCAGGATTTAAAGGTGTAATTTTGCAATAGAATAAATATAAACACATAAATTTCTGCATGTTTATTTTGTTTAGCACAGTACCATCTCTGAAATTAAGCCAATGTTCCACAGAAATTATTGCCATGCTCCAGAATTAGCTCTCGTCCTTAATTAAGAATACTGCAATGGAGATATGTATTTGTAGAACACAAATTGTATTGCTCTGCACAAGCTGGTGGTATTGGGGAAACTCTCAATAAATGAGATTGCGTTTTAAATGATGTGACAAATTAGCATGCTTTTTCTAAAGCAGTTGAGGCCCTTAGATGTTTGTCTTTATATTATATGTCTACTGGTTTATAGAGTATCTTGTATTTTCTTTCAGAATCTAAGTGGTAAGAGAATTTCATCCTTATCAATGTTTCTCTGTTACTTTCCATTATGGCTAAACTGTACATGCAGCTGAATGACTAGCATTCATCCTTCTTGAAAAAGCATGTTAGTAGACTCTCCAGTGGCTTGGCAGCAGCCGAAGACTCACATTTAGAAGGGGTCTTAAATTTTGTTCTTCCAGATCCCTTGTCACACAGGCCCCTGTGGTAGTTATGCACTTGGGCCCCAAGAAGAATGGCAGAAGAGCACGCATGCCTTCTGTGGGTGGATCTGCAGTTTGGCACATGCCTCAGGTTTCCTGTCCACCTGGTCTGTCTGGAAAACTCAGCCTTCTTGTTGCCTACCCTCTAGAACAGTGGTCACCAACCAGTAGATTGGGATCTACTGGTAGATCTTGGAGCCTCTGACAGGGGATCGTCACTGGTTTGGCCAAGAGCTACAAAGCGCAGCACTTCAGCTGCCCCTCCCCACACTGCTGCGCATCTCCCTCCCTTTGCCTTGGAGCTCCCTGTTCCCCTGGGAGCCTCCTGCTTGCAGCACAGAGCAGGGAAGGGAGAGGAGGGGGCACTGATGTCAGGGTGCCCCCTCTTTTACCCTGTATTCTATCACCAGAGAACGGGGGGTGGGGGAGGTCCAACACAACAGGGCTTGGGATGCAGGGAGTTCGCTGGCAGCTTTTGAAAGGAGTGCAGGGCCAGGGCAGGGGTGAGCCTGCCTTAGTCCCACTGCACCACCACCCAAGAGCCACCTGAGGTAAGCAGTGTCCAGCTGGAGCCAGCTCTGAGCCCCTGCCCCAGTCATGAACCCCCTTCTGCACCCAAAGGCCCTGTCCTAGACTTGAGCCCCCTGGAACTAAACTCCTTTAGAGACCCTGAACCCCCCCACACCCACCCACACCAATTCTCTGCCCCAGGCTCAGCTCAGAGCCTCCGTAAACTCCAAATCCCTTAGCCCAAGACCAGAGCCCGTGCCCCAACCCTCTGCCCCTGCCTGGTGAAAGGGTGGGAGGAAGAGAGGACAGAGAGTGCAGGGGCAAGGCCTTGGAGAAGGGGCATGAAGGGGCAAGGGTATTCGGGTTTGAGGTAGATCTTACATTGCACTTAAATTCAAAAAGTGATCTAGAGCAGTGGTCTCCAACCTTTCTAAGTGCAAGAAGCAGAAGGGGGCTTTTGACATATAAAGAGGGTGGGCAGAGAAGGTAACATATAGATTCCTCTGGACTCCTGTCCACATCAGTTTAAGCAAAGAATACACTAGCTTAGCCTGTCTTACATGACCACCTATATTGATGCAACTTATGTTGCTCAGGGTGCGAATATGCCACCGCCGTCCCCCACTCCCATGACATAAGTTACATGAGTCTAGTGTGCACCGTGCCATATCACAGAGCAAATTTTCTCACTGATATAGCTTATGCTGTTTGTGGGAATTGGGGGGGAGGAAGGGAGCTGCTTTTATTCCAGTGACGGAGTCCTTTCCTGTCAGCATAGAGTGGGGGCTGGTAAAATACAGCCTAGCACACCACTGAATCTAGTCCCCCACCATCCCGTGGCCTAGTGGGAGCCATGGGCAGGCTCTCTGCCTTCAGCATGCCACTCAAAGTGGCTGGCTGTGGGGACCATGTGCTCTTTGCACACCACGAGCTCCTACTGGGGGGGTGCTCTGTGTGTTGCCCTTTCCCCCAGCCCAGTTTTACAGCTCCTATTGGCCGAAATCAGCCAATGGGAGCTGCCTGGGTCATGCTAGGGGTGTAGGCAGTGCACAAATTCACCCCCCACCCCCCGGGGCAGCACATGGCATACAGTAGGAATGTGAAGAACTAGTCGAAAGGATAGTCGATTAGTAGCTTCCCCCGTCCTTGCTGCCTCTTTCAGAAAGAGGTAACAATAGTGGGGAAGAGGAGGGAACTCTTAAAAGGCAGCACCGCTGGAAGCCTGGGGCCAGACCCTGGGCTCCATGCGGTGCTGACGCTTTGAAATGCCACATGCAATCCGGGGCCAGCTGGGTGTCGCCAGGCTGCTGCATGTGGTGTTTCAACATCCTTGGCACACAGACCACATGGACCCTGTAGTCAGCTGCTTTGACTGGTGTTCAGTGGCATGGCACGCAGGGAATCTGCCTGAGGCTCCTGCTGGCCAGGAGCCCTCTAAGCACCTAGTAGCCAGATTCTGCACCTTTCAACCCTCTGCTCCCCCTCGTGTACCCTTGCCTCAGGTCACAGCCCAAACCCTCTGCACCCCCACTCCTGCACCCATACCCCCTCTCAGACCCTGCACCCCAATCCTCTGCCCTTCGTCACAACCCAGCCCACTGTATTCCTGTTCCTGGTCACACCCCCCTCAAATATCCTGCACCCCTTACAACAACCCTTCCCCATGTCAGAATCCTCTCCTGCACACTAAATCCCTGCCCCAGGTGACAGCCTTCTCCTTTACTCTAACTCCCTCCCAGACCCCACACCTCCTTTAGTAATATCCTGGAATAGTGCGACTCTTGATCACTTACCAAATTTTTTGAGTGACACCCCCCCCCCCAAAAAAAATTACTGCCCACCCCTGGTATAGAGCACCTTCATGATGTGCTACAGTGGGGCAGCTGTACGTGTAGATATGGCCTCAGAGACATTGGGCAGGGGGGGGGGGGTTGCTAGAAGAAGAAGCAGTTTGCTACTGCTTCCAGTCCCAAACAGTCTCCTGCATGAGTTATATTTTTATTCAGCTTTTTTTAAAAAAGCGGTAAAATAAAATTATTTACTCTTTATTTTTAGTGGCAGTTTGGCTTTTTTTTTTTTAATTTTCTCCCATCCCACAGATCAGGTTGCAGCTGTGGGATACTGCGGGTCAGGAACGTTTCCGTAGCCTCATTCCCAGTTACATCCGTGACTCTGCTGCTGCTGTAGTAGTTTACGATATCACAAGTAGGTATATTGCACTGGGTTTGACCTTTTCTTATTTTTCTTGCTTGTTTGACTGATTTTGTTAGGTTTTTTTTAATTTTCTCCCATCCCACAGATCAGGTTGCAGCTGTGGGATACTGCGGGTCAGGAACGTTTCCGTAGCCTCATTCCCAGTTACATCCGTGACTCTGCTGCTGCTGTAGTAGTTTACGATATCACAAGTAGGTATATTGCACTGGGTTTGACCTTTTCTTATTTTTCTTGCTTGTTTGACTGATTTTGTTAGGTACG